TCAAACTAGGGTTTTTTCACTGTCCATCCTTAGAAACCCTGGCTTAAAACTTCTCAAACTCCTCAATCATGATGAGTTGGTCTATGAATCATCTTTATAACATCTCCATACATCATTCCATGATCTCATGGCCCTTGGATTAGGTCTCAACCTTCTCCAAATCATCAGTTGACCTAGGGTTGACCCAGTCAAAACCCTAATTCTACCATTCATGGCTGAATCTTCTGAATTCTTGCATAATGACCTCTCTGGGCTTCATGATGGCTTTCAAGACATCTCATAAACTTTCTCAAAGCTTCAAGTTCATTCTCAAAGTCTCAGAATCATCTGAGGAGCTCCCACAACTCTCAAGCTATGAAGCACACAACCTTGGTTTCAACCAATTCCTCTGAGGATCTGATGAAGGTATCAACTTTCAAACACTTGATGGATAAATAAATGTTGGTCAAATTTTGGGGTGCAACACTGTCTTCGGCGGTTCCCACTGCAACACTGCAGTCACCTTCGATGGGTCCACCGATATACCATCACCAGATATTACATGCCCCAAGAAACTCACTGTCTTCAACCAAAACTCACACTTTGATAGCTTAGCAAACAGCTTATTCTCTTTCAGCACCTGTAAAGCAATTCTCAAATGTCCTGCATGTTCCTCATCAGACTTAGAATAAATCAATATGTCGTCAATAAACACAACAATGAACTGATCCAAGTAAGAATGGAAAATTCGGTTCATATACTCCATAAACACTCTCGGCGCATTAGACACTCCAAAAGGCATCACACCAAATGCACAACAAATGAACTCAAGCACACAAGGTGCACACGATCCCCTAATCACATCACCATACATCATACATACACATTGTTCATCAATTAATTATTTTAATTAAAGTCACACGATCCCCCCTGATCACCTCACCATACCCCATACACACCTCACACATCAATTTAATTATTTTGATTAAATTCAATACCACATAATTCCACCTACCAACACCAAGTACATACCCTACACCACTAAACACCACATATGTACCTGTCCCAACCCAAAGGATCCTACGAAACGAATCACAACGCAATACAGCATAACATACATTCTGTCACGCTCGCTGGCTCATTCGCTTAGCGAAGCCCTAGCGAACGCTCGCTAGCTGCTCGCCTAGCGAACTCCCTAGCGAAGGCAGACAGTGGCTACTGGAAGCCTTCGCTACCCATCTCGCCTAGCGAAGTCCTAGCGAACACTCGCTACTAGCTCGCCTAGCGAATCGCTCGCTCGCTAGCTACTCGCTTAGCGAGTTCTGCGATCTCTCAAAACCCTCACACTCCAGAACTGTTATCTTGCTCAAATTCAAGCCTATCATTCTACTTCTATCTTCAGTCCTATCAATACTACAACCAATAAACACTACTATATCATTTTCTATCAATTTTAACTCCAGAACCCACACCTATGTTCATCATCAGAACTACAGAAGTTACTCAGAACTTCACCAATCTCCCAACAATACATACCTAAGGTCATCAATGGCAACCACAATCATAAGCACATCAACATGCACACCAATTTCATCATAACAACAACAACAATCATCAACATTTCAGTATATCATTCATATTCACCAAACTTCTACGGGGTTAAGGAATCCCCTCTACCCTGTTCATGCGATTTACCAATCTTAACCCGTTTCTCCCCCCTTACCTCGATTAATGCTCCGATTGACGAAGAACTCTGAAGAACTGTTAGCCCTAGCCTTCTTCTCTTCCTCCTTGTTCTTCCTCTTTCTTCTTCTCTCTAAAACTGACTTATCGTGTTCTCACTCTCTCCTTTTCTCCCAAACTCTTCTAATACCCCTTAAATCCTTATTTTATTAATAATAATAATAATAATAATAATACAATTAATAATAATAATAATAATAATAATAATAATAATAATAATAACAATAATAATACAAATTATTATATTATCATCATTATTAATTATATTATATTATTATTAAACTCTATATTTTATTCAATTATCCTATAGAATTGATTTAATCCCAATTACATTTTTTTTAATCACACAAAATATAAACAGATAAGATGACATTAGATCAACACACTTTTTAAATAGGAATATTGACTTTTTAAATAAATTTTATTGGTTAAACATATTTTTCTCTATACTTTAGTTTTCAACAAATCTAAAATATCTCGTAAAAAAGATATCAAGAGTACTACATTGAATAATATATGATATGAACATATTTTTAATAAGTGAGGACAAATGTTATTCTACAAACTAATTTTATAGAATTAAATTAATCTTAATTACATTTTTTTAATATGATATCAAGAGTTTGATTTAAAATTTGATAGACTATCTATTATAATTTCTATTATTTAATTATCCACTATTTATTTTCACACTCTAATTATCTATCAAATCATATATAAAAAAAATCCATAACTTTTTTGAAAAATTGAAATAATAAAAAAACGATGTATTAGAATTTGAAACCAGATTGCTGATCTAATGCTTTGAATTTTATGACCTTACCCAAATAACACCTTATGAGTATAATAACTTGCAATATATTCATCCTGGCCTACAATCCTTAGCCCTGCTTTCTTCTTTTAGTCTTTCTCACACTAAATTTTGTTATGTAAACAATAATAAAATAATTAATCTCCAAATAACTCTTTTTGTCTGAGTAAAAGTTTGAATAGTTCCTATCCTATATCCTTTTCACCCCTTTCACATTCAAAACTCTCTCACTCTCTCTCACCATTCACTTTGAGTTTGACCCGTTGCCAGCCACCGGCAATTCTTTTCTCTCTACTCCAATGCCTACCCCACCTTGCACTGTCTAGAGGATTTTCTAAACTTAATAACCGAGGATTTAGCAACAAACAAACACAAGGAAAATAAATATTAAAAAATCCTTTAGAAATACCTATGAAAAGAATATAGATATTGATATTCTTGAGGTAAAATAAAAAAAACATTGTCAAATATTATAGTGGTTTGAATTTATTGTTTAAAAATAAATAAATGAGATGTTATTTGAACTCTACATAATCATTAAGGTGGAAATAAATGAGACTAACTAATCGGAATTTATAGCTTAGTTTACGTAGACTCAAGTCAAGTCAGATTTTTTTTAAAAATAAAAAATGTCTAAATTTTTTCGTAAATCTATTTAATTAAATAGACTAAGCCACATACCGTAAGAAAAATCTTTTAAATTTATAACGCTGACTTATTAATAAAAAACTCAATAAATTTATTATTTTTATATTTTATTTTATACTTTGAATTAAAATACAAAAATAAAATTTAATTATCTTAAAGAATTTATAAAAATAAATTGAAAAACACCATAAACAATGTCATAAATATTTTTTATAAGTTCTCTCTAACAAATAGTTTCATCAAATTTAAGTTAATAGATAAACTTGGATGAGACAATGAAGACAAATATTTAATCTCATTGATATTTTAATTTATTAGTCTATTTAACATTAGTTGAATTTCTTATTTACAAATATTCAAATGAATTAAATTTTTAAATAGGTTAGTAGGTCAATCAAATTTTCGGAAAGACTAGATTCAGACTAAAAATAAACCTATAATAGGCTATAGGACAGACTTAAACTTTAAATTTTTAAACAGATTAAACTCATACTTATCAAAGTCGGCCCAATCTATTCTTATCCTTAATAATCACTACTTGATTTAAAGAAAAGTGATAAAATTTATTTAAAATTTAATTAAATGGTATTATGTTATGCGATTTGGTGATAAATAGTTTTAATCATAACTAATATACTGAAGTACAAATTTAAATTTGCAATTACTTAGAATCTTTAATGTGAATTTTACGACTAAACTATTCAATTTTATTTTAAAAATTTTACTATCAACAATTCATTTACATTAATACATAAATATAAATAAATATTATTACAAAAAATTAAACTTTACCTCAATTGCTTTTACTCATTTAACTAAATTTAAATATACCAACTAATCCACTGACTCCTACCTATAAAATTTTATTAGATACTGATAATTTGTAAATGAAATTAATTTAAAATAAAAAATTATTAAATAAAATTTAAATTAAAAATAAAACTATAAAAAATAATCTAAAAATAAACATGTACCATTCTTAATTAAATATAATTTTACAATATTAAAAATAAAAATAACATTTTATTAAAATTTAGTAAAAATAATAAAATTAACCCTTAAAACAAAACTATATCAAAGTGTCCTTGATTAAATATATTTGAATTATGAATATCCATCCAAACAAACACTAAAAACTTATATATATATATATATATATATATATATATATATATATATATATATATATATATATATATATATATATATATATATATATATATATATATATATATATATATATATATATATATATATATATATATATATATATATATATATATATATATATATATATATATATATATATATATATATATATATATATATATATATATATATATAACATTTCTTTTGCTGTTCTTTTTTCTTCATTTTCTCTCTCTTTCCTTCTCACTTTCACTTCCTTTTCATAAAAATGAAACCCTAATTTCAAACACACCCCACATGGCCTTTTTGTAATTTACCTCTCAAGGCTTTTCATCTTTTTTCCTTTCTTTCCCATCTTCATCACCTCTTCCCTAGCCAATTCTATTATATCATAAACAAGATCTGTTTTCCCATCTCTTCTTCTTTTCTCTTCTTTTCATACAAAAAATTCCTTTTTCTCCATCTAAAAGACAGCCTAGGAAAAGATCTTAGCTTCTAAAGATATTGTTCTCTTTACAAAAGCTTCTTCTCAGAATCAGAAATTTTTCACTGCTTCTTCTCATCACTTCCATAACTTTTTTTCCTATTTTCACTATTTTCAATTGCTTTTTATTACCACTTTTTTTTGTTCAGCTTTTTTCTTCATCTACTTTTGCTTAATTTACAAGCTATGGATTCTGGTAATAGTGGAAGTATTTCTTCAAGTGGTGATGAAGAATATGATTCAAGAACGCATCATCCAACACTCCTTCCTTCAAATTTCTTCAATCAACAACAACCTTCTCTTCAATTTCATTCCATCTCACACAATCCACAATCTTTTCATCTTGGATCAAACTCAAACTCAAACTCAGTTTCTTTCTTTGATCTTTCACCAAACTACCTTCAAAATCTCCCTCAGTCACAACCAAACATAGACACATCTTCATTTCCTCCATCATCTCAAGGACTTTCATCATCATCATCATTATCATTTTCATTACAACAACAACAACACTCAAACCAATGTTTGTTAACAACTCCTCAAGCTCTTGGACTTAATGATAACAACAACAATAATGCAAGAACAACATCAACACCGTCACCGTCACCGGCAACAACCAATAATGCAACAAGAAATTCAAAGAAGAGAACAAGAGCTTCAAGAAGAGCACCTACAACGGTTCTAACAACCGACACTTCGAATTTCAGAGCCATGGTTCAAGAATTCACAGGTATCCCTGCACCACCTTTTTCAGGTTCTTCTTATTCTCGTCGTCTCGATCTTCTCACTTCATCATCATCTTTAAGATCAAGTAATTCATCTCATCACTTCGATCCAACAGCAACAACAACAACTTCTTTTTACCCTCTTCGTCCTTCACCACAAAAACTTTATCATCAAAATCCATTGCTTTTATCTTCATCTTCATCGTCACCGCATAACAACAACATGGTTGATGCAACTGTTAACAATAATTATCATCAACAACTACCAATATCTGATTTGGGCTTACCTTATAATAATCATCAACAACAGCAACAACATAACTTCATGCTTAGCATGCAGAATCAGCAACCTATTCATACATTCAACAACCTTTCCGCATCTTCTTCACAACAGTTTCATCCTTTTAGTCTAGGAGCGTTTGGTGCAAAGTCACAACAACAACAACAACAAACAAGTTTATCAGTACAATCTCTTGAAGATCTTGGTGTGAATCAAGGACAAGTTAATGCACATGTTGGTGGTGATAAAGTGGTTGGTTCTTCTTCAACAGGTGGGGGTGTAGGTAGTAATTGTAAGGTAAACTTTTCAGGTTCTGGATCAATTACGTTAAACCATGAAAAGACAATGGAGAATAATAATAATAATAATGATAATAGTAATAATAGTAATAGAGGAGTTGAGGGTGTTGATTCGTGGATTTGTTCTTCTGATTAGGAATATTTTGTAAGATTGGTGATGAGACTAAACTGGTACAGAAAACTTTGTTATGATTACAGAGTGGAATATGATGCTGCAATGAATATTAAGATTATTATCATCATGATGTTGATCATAGTGGGGTGTTGTTGGTGGTTACAATTTGCAGCTAACAATTCTTCCTCTTCTTTTTCTCTTTTTTTTTTTTACTTTTATTTTAAATATATATATGACTAGTCATCATTATAAAATCAATTTAATCATGTATGATAGATTTGTAAATTTTTAATTGTTGAGTAGTCTTTTTTTAATTTATACTTGATGACAAAATGATATTGAATGTTATATGATTGTATGTATGATTAGCATTTTATTATAATTGTGGTGATTAGTTGCAGTTATAACTATAATAAACTAAATTATTACTTATTTATATGGTTTAAATATATTAAATTAGTATTATGCTTTGAACGTTCTCGGTTGACGACTCTGATTGAAAAATATGGTTGAGCTCAACAAAGAGAATGGCAAAATACTATACAATTTTTAATTCTCTAGTACAGATTTAATGGTGAGATTACAATTTTTCTGATATATTTTATACATGATATATTTTATATAGGGATAATGAAAGACTAACAAATCTTAATTGTTTTGTGATTATTAATTATAGATGACAAAATGAGTCAAAGAATATATTTATTTTGTTTGTACTTTTTATGAGAAAGATCAAGATTTTAGACAAGTTCTATCCCATTTTTTCTACTATTTATAAATGTGATTATTAATATAAGTTTTATAATTTTAGATTTTAAATGTGCCGTGTTTGTGGGTCGATCTGATCCATCATAATTTTCTTTGTAGACAGATCAAAATTTTAAAACTTTAAGTCTGTTGTCTATAATAATTTCCGCTTCGATCTATTTTATTTATTTTACAATTTTAAGTATGTTGTCTACCACCATTTCCGCCCTTGTTTAACAAGTTTTTACTGTCTTCATATTTGTCACCCATTTTAATAATAAAACTAACTAATAATTATTTATAATCAAATGTAACAATAAAACAATTAACTTTAACAACAGTTATAATTCTATTTTGAGGCTATATATTGCAAGATATTATTGTTAATGAAATTATTGTTATTGAGACAAAACACATTGGGAGCCATTATATGTCCAATAGTTTAAAGCTAAAGCGAATATGCGGCTAAGATTTCCAATAATAAGAAAAATTGTTCCTCGTACGATCTCTTGTCTAGTGCTTGCCTGTTACAAATAAGAAAACGTTGAAAATTATACTATATACTAGAAAAAATCATAAATAAATTTATCTATAATGTAATTAGTCGGTGAGTGGTGAGTACTACCATCAATTATGAAGAATCATCAATTAAAAATTTAAGACATATACATAAATTACAAGATTGTGTGACACAATGGGAATGTAACTAGTCATTAAGTATATTAAACATGGCATTCTTAGAAGAAAAGAGAGATAATATTAAATGTGTATTATACTGATGACAGTGAAATGAAACAAAATTAAAAAAAGAAAGAAATTCTTATACATTAGATGATTGCATTTTATATGTACAGAATTAATCAGTTACAATCAACAATTTGGTTGTGTGTTAAGGTGACAAAGCTGTTTTGAGGAAGTGTAAAACAGATTGCAATATATAACTAAAAATTTGACGAAGTTAAAGATAGATTTTAATCGTATAATCTAAAATTTAATATGGTTAAATGTGGTTAAAAATAGAGTTAAATATATAACATTTTCAGTAATATAGACGAGTTTCGATTTACCACTTATAAAATAAAAATTTTAAATTATCTTTAAAATATTAAAATTTTATATTTTTGTGACTCCTAAACATCAAAGTTATTTAATATAAAAAAAAAGTTGTTTACTCCAAATTCAATGCTCAAATTACACGTCTAAAAAGGTAAAACAAAAAAAATATAAGATTAACCGAAACCCATCAGCTTAAAATTAATTTCATTGAATATTTACTAAAGTTAAATAATAATAATAATGTAAAGTTCTACTATTTATTTTTTCAAACTTAAAATATGATTATACACGATACAACTTAACATATTATGTTTATTTTCAATTTTTTTCTTTTGAAAATGACATAGTTCAAATTTTTGTTAGGATTTTTTTATACAAAATGAATACTATTGTATAATTATAGAGATTAATCATTTGAGTCCGAAAAAATTATCGTAGGTGGTAAAACTCTCTATCAAAAGATTTAACAGTATTGTATACTCAGGACTGAATTCAAATTCAGAATCTCTAATTAGGTTGAAAGAAATCATATTATTTCTATCAAATATTATTTCTATCAAATACTCTTGAATAATCTTTCTTAGACTTTTGGTTTAACATTTTGTGGTTTGACTGATTTGAAAGTCATAAATAGTTTTTTTTTAATAAGGTGATAAATTTCTAGTTAATTAAAAAAATCAAATTAAATTCTCCTCTTAAAAGTTCTTTAAAGACCTCCTTACATTTTCTATGAATTTCAGAAATGAAGAAAAATAAATAATAAAACCAAATAAACATAAACAACAACCAGAAAGCAACACACCTCCAGCCAAAATCACACCAATATGAACTGAATGTTAATCCCTTAATCATTCAATTATTGTATTATATTTATTTATTTTGATGTAAGACATATGAATAATAATTGTTCAAAACTATAGTTTCCGTGATATTGTACTATCAATTATGTGATATGGTTTATTTAGCTAAGTAGGTATGTGTCTTGGATTTATATCATAAATGCTTATGGGTCATTGGTCAATGAGACTGTTAGATGGATGCTATATTTAACCTTTCCTAACAAATGATTTCTTAAAACACATTTTAATTTTTTGGCAAAAATTATATCAAAGAAAAAGGTTATTTAAGTTTTATTTTCAATAGTTTGGTTCTTAAGTTATCAAATCGGTACATTGATATCCTTTTTTTAATAAAGTGAATAGGTTAATCATAAATACAATTATTTTGAGTGAAATGAAAATGATGAAACACAATTAAAAATATAATTATAATAAATTTTTAAATATTCAAAATGTGAGAAAAATGACATATAATTCATTTAAATGATCAAATTGTTAAAAGAATTTAAATAAATAATCTATTACACAAAAACAATTTAAATGATTTTAGTGTAATTTGTCTAATTTTTTAATGATATTTCCAAATTTTCCTTTTTAAGATTCTAAGAATTTAATTTTTATTTAAATTATATATGAAAGTCAGTTTTTTAGTTAGAATTAATAATTTCGGATAGTGTTTGTAGTGGTTGTTTGGGGGCAATGTTTTTCCCAAAGGTCCGTTTTATGATTGGTTCTGTGCATCAATTGATTATATTAAATGAAAATAATATTTCCACCTTTTTATATTGAGTTTGAGCACCCCTTATGCTTATTGTTATTTCATTGTCAGTTAAAAAACATCTTAAAATATCACATTAGTTAAAAATAGAGCATTAAAATAATTTATAAGATTGTGTTTTGACAAACTCTAATATGATATCAGAGTCTATCGATAGGATCTTGTGTAACTTACTGTTTAAATCCGCGCACCAAGACTAAAAAGAGTGTGGGGCATGAGGGGTGTGTTGCTAAAGTCTCACATAATTTATATAGAATGACATCACTCAGTTTATCAACCAATTTTATAAGATTATGTTAGGTCAAATTCAAATATTGCCCACTAGAAAAAATTTATATATATATATATATATATATATATATATATATATATATATATATATATATATATATATATATATATATATATATATATATATATATATATATATATATATATATATATATATATATATATATATATATATATATATATATATATATATATATATATATATATATATATATATATATATATATATATATATATATACACTTTACGTGAGAGCACATGGTCGAGATTATCACCACAAAAGTGGAGGAATACAATCCATGAACATCGCGTGGCTCAAAATAAAAATTTACTTGACTATGATTCATCGGAAAAAACTCAATTAATTGTTTCCAAAAAACGAAAAGTAGACTTATTAAAAAATAAAAAATAAATAAAAAAATATGGATATGATCTTTTTGCCTATCAATATCGTGCATTATTAGCCAATGGGATTGTAGAGCGGGTACTAATATTACGGATTGATGCAGTTTGGTTAAAAGACCCGAAGTCGCAAAGGCTTGGGTAAAAATAACACTTGGTGCAATTATTGTACTTAAAAGATTTTTCTCCTTTTTAAAAAAAATAACCATATGAAAAATTGAAAAACCCCATGAAAGAAAGATTAGGGATTCATATAAATCACTAAATGGTAAATGTCCCGAAAAAAACCAACAAGTAATTAACAATCCCGTTACACAGAAAAAAGTTATTATCATGACTTTTTTGGACAAATCATATAATCCTACAATTTCATTGACTAATAAGATTATCAAATGAATTGAAATAACAATTGATATAAGGGAAAATGATAAGAGTTAATAGGATGTCATACCGCTACTCGGACTCAAACCGAGATGCTCTAACACTGCTTCTTAAGAGCAGTGTGTCTACCAATTTCACCATAACGGTATATATATATATATATATATATATATATATATATATATATATATATATATATATATATATATATATATATATATATATATATATATATATATATATATATATATATATATATATATATATATATATATATATATATATATATATATATATATATATATATATATATATATATATATATATATATATATATATATATATATATATAATAATTTCGGGTTGTGTTTTGGCTTTGGCCTTTTCTTTTTCTTTTTAATTCATCTCTGATTGTGGCTTTTGTTTATCGACTAAAAGTTCTAGCTAAACTTATTTTATTAGCCAATATATAATATAGATGATAAAAAGAATCGTATGTAGAAATATCCGAAAATAAAATCCATCGT